TTAAAAGCTTCCGTCATCCGCGCGCTTTCAGCTTGGCCCCATACCCCATCTCCGCAGCTGGCTGAACTCTTCAGTTCTATCACATCCGCTAATCTTTCGACTGTTTTGAGTGATCCGTCGATCGTGTCCAACAAGTTTCGTTTGGTGCGCCAATTACGAGACCATGCGCTAGCGGCGGATCGGGATCCACAACGGTTTGCAGAAACGGATTTCTGGCGACTGCGAGACTGCATTCCGTCCTCGGAGCAGCTTCAAGCGGAGGACATTGACGCCTTTGCGAGTCTGTTGGAGATTTATGAAGGCAACATCAGCAGCTTCGATCGCGAGCAGCATTCAATTCGTGCTAAGCAGCGTCGTGACCTTTCATCTGGAGCACTGCCACAGAATTGGATTGTCCATGAGCTGCTGAACATGCTTGAAGCGAGTGATGGCTCGCAGGTTCACGTTGCCTATAGGACGCTCCGCTCTATCATGTCCGTCTCAAATGTCTCAATGCATGTGCCCCACGAATACCACGATGAACTGCGGTACCTCCAGGCGTATAGGCGCACACCGACGACAAGACCAGTTCGCAGTCTGGAGGAGCTCATGACAGAGGCTTATCTGGATACCATTTCCGAATTTCCTCGATGGGTTGGCATGGTAGCCACTCTGCTGAGCGACATCCTGTCCGCTGCCGAACCATTTTATGCCCAATTAACCCTCATTTTACAATCCGATGCCACTTTCACTGAACAGACGTTGCCGGTTTTGGTTCATTCCGTTTTGGAGACTGAACGGTCCACTGTTGCGCGGAACACGCCCCTATCCGCTCTGCCATGCCGAAAAACACTTTCCGCTTACTTCGTCGCCGTTCTTGAATCAGGGCGTGCTAGCACCCCGGTTGTGTGCTCTATTGTCGATATTGTTCTCCATCTCCGGAATTTCACTCCACTAGTCGAAAAGGACGTGGCCAAAACAGACCCAAAAAAAGTTGACGCGTTGTCGTATGACAAGTGGTTGGCCATCGACTACACGCTGTTGGCTCGTAATTCCATCGGTTGTGGTTCCTACACGACGTCGCTCCTTTTCTTGGAACTTGCTGCCGAGTATTCAAACGGCGCCCGCACCGACGACGTCGCTGCCCCGATTCTATACGAAATTTACAGCCACATCGATGAGCCCGACGGATTTTACGGCATCAAAACTCAGAATCTGCACCAGTTCCTCATTAAGCGTTTCCATCACGAAAAGCAATGGGACAAGGCTTTTCGATTCCATAGCGCTTCTTTGGAGGCCGGCAACGCTGACACGGCGGAGGCAGACGGACTGTTACAATCCTTCCATTCTTTCGGATTCAACCATCTCGCGATCGACACTCTACAGAGCTCATCGTTCAGCGCAGGGGCGACTTTCACGCCAGGTATGAATTATCGCCTTGGCTGGCGGACGGAGACCTGGGATCTTCCTGAACGGCAGGGCGACGGAAATCCAGGGGCGCCGCTCTACAGTGCTTTGCGCGCGGTTTACCGAGCGCGCAACCCTCGCGTGATCCAGTCGGTCGTCCGTGGCGCGATTTCCGAGGAGATGGGGCGCCTTCGGGTGCTGGGGTCGGAGAACGTGGCTGAGATCCGGGACGCAGCTCAAAACCTGATGTGCCTCAACCAGGTTTCGCAATGGTTCAATCCCAGCAACCAAAACCTTCTCAGCTCTCGTCAAACCGATATGTCTCAGTGGACGAAATTCATCAATCTGGGTACAGGGTTTGGGTGCGCAAGACCGGCATGTATCCCTGCATTTGTCTGACCATTTACCCAGATTTTCGGACTTTGAGAATGTAATGGCGACGCGGATATCCCTTGTGCGTTCGGTCAGAAGGAAGGAGGAACGTCAGCAAATCGGAACGCTTGTCTCGCCTTTTGGCCGGTGCTTACTCGACGTCGAGAAGCAATGTCTCATTAAATTGTCCCAAGCTGCCAGAGACGCCCAACAGATCCAAATCGCACTCAATTCGGTGATTCGTGCCCAACGCCTGGAACAATCGCCGTCTTTTGAGGTATCTGTGGAGTTTGCTAGTGTTCTGCGACTTCAAAAAGAGGAGAAGCTGGCCGTTCAGTTTCTGAAAGGCCTCGACCTTACGCATCTTCCTGGGGGCGAAAAAGCCGTCATCCTCGCTCGCCTGGTAATATTTCCTCCCTCAGTTCATTCGAACGACTCAAACACGAATATAGGGCACCTGGATGTCCGAAGCTTGCTTGGAGAACCCGACGGACATTGCAGCTCACTATTTTGAACCAGCTACCTCTTACATCAACAGCTTCCGCGATAAAACTCCCACGCTCTTCACAGCATCTCATGCCAGAGTGTACCATCAGTACGCGAGTTTCGCTGAACACCAATACAAGGCCATCAAAAATTCGCCGGACGCTATCCGGTGGAGAGTGTATGTCGACCGAAAGACACAGGAAGTTCAGCTGCGGAAAACCCAAGGCCGAGGGAAATCACTGCACGACGCGGAAGTACTTTTGAGGACCGACCAAGAGTTGTTCAAAAAGCACAACAAGGCTCGCGAGACCTTCCTTGCGCATGCCATCGAGATGTATTCCCGCGCGCTCGAGGCTTCGGATGCATTCGATGGCGACGGTGCCATCCGGCTGTGCTCCTTGTGGTTTGAAAACTTCGACGAGACGGAATTCGAGTTCCAAGACAAAGTCAAGGGAGCGCTGGATAGGATACCTTCGGGTAAACTGGTCTTCTTGGCTGTATGTCTTTTTGATGTCGTTTTCTTCCATACTCACATCGGCGTAGCATCAACTGTCTGCACGGCTTTCCAAGACGTCAGAGCCCATGAAAAACCAGGAAAATCTGGAGAATGTCGTCCTGCGCATGTGCCTCGACCATCCATTCCACAGCTTGTATCAGGTCTACGGCTTGTTACCGTATACCCCGCCTACAGTGCAAATGCCCCCGGGCGTTCAACGCCAATCTGCCCGGCATAGCACGCCCGGGCTTACTCCTCCACTGAGTTCGCAGGCGACCGCTCGCAGCGAAGCTGCGATCGCAATCTTCGATCGGTTGCGTGGGGATCCTCGGAGCGAGCAACGTATCAAAGACGTCGAGCTCGTCGCCGGCGCCTGTCTTGCGTGGGCCAAGTTTCCAATCGTGAAGACCAAACTCGACCCCAAACATCTCGAGGGGCCCAAAACGAAGGCGATCCCAATTCCAGCCGAACAGCCGATTCGCAAGCTTTTGGGCGTCAAAGTGCCTGTACTTACGTGCCCGCCGGCGCTTGACCCGAGCGGCAACTATGAGAATTGCGTCTTTATTGACAAGTACGAGACAACTTTCGAGACTGCTGGCGGAATCAACTTGCCGAAGATCTGCAAGTGCGTGGGTACGGATGGCGGGCGGTACAAGCAGCTGGTACGAGCCTTGTTTATACATGTCGATCTCCCATTCACTTGTGGCTGCAGTTCAAAGGCGAAGGAAACGACGACTTGCGGCAGGACGCGGTCATGGAGCAAGTCTTTACACTGGTCAATACCGTACTACAAAACGACCGGGAGACCAATAAACGCAAGCTCAATGTCCGCGGCTATACGATCATACCGCTTGGTGCCCAGGCTGGGATTTTGGAGTTTGTCGTCAACACGACACCTATGCAACCTTGGCTTCAGGCTGCGCATCTCAGGTACACCACCGTTTGCATGTTTTTGGAACTGCTTACCGATTGTATTGCAGATACAATAAGGGCGACATGAATCCCCAAGCCGCAGGCGCACGCATTTTACGGGCGTATGAAGAGTGGGGCAAGGCGGAGAAGGGCAGGATCCCCGAGCCCGAGAAGCAGCTCGCGCGGTACCTTGAAGTCAAGAAGGTCTTCCGGCCCGTGATGCGGCATTTCTTCACGGAAAAGCACAAGAACCCGATGGCGTGGTTCGCGATGCGGCTGAACTATGTGCGCAGCGTGGCGACGACGTCGATCGTGGGGCACGTCCTGGGGCTCGGAGACCGGCACGGGTCGAACATCCTGCTGGACACGGAGACGGGTGAGATGGTACACATCGACCTGGGGATCGCGTTCGACCAGGGGAAGCTGCTGACGGTGCCGGAGCAGGTGCCGTTCCGGATGACGTCGGACGTGGTGGACGGGATGGGCGCGGCGGGGACACAGGGGGTGTTCCAGCGCTGCGCGGAGGAGACGTTGCGTGTGCTGCGCGAGGGCTCGGAGGTGATCATGACCGTGCTGGAGGTGTTTAAGCACGACCCGCTGCACTCGTGGACGGCGAGCGAGATCAAGCTCAAGAACGTGCAGAAGGACGCGGACGGCGCAGGCGGGGGTGGGCTTGGGCGGTTCCGCACGGGGATGGGCGGGATAGGGATCGATATGACCAGCGGAACGGCGGACGAGGCGGCGGACCGCGCACTGACCGGGGTCGCGCGCAAGCTCGACAAGGCGATGAGCGTCGAGTATACGGTCAACGAGCTGATCGCGGAGGCGACGGATCCGATGCGGCTCGCGACCCTCTGGTGGGGTGAGTGCTGTTTTATTTTGATTGCCTGAAAGCCAATGCTAACGTGAACTATTAGGATGGGGTGCCATCTACTAGTCTCTTTAATTTTTTTTCACATACGCTCACGAACACACCACGACTCGGGGAATTCTTCACTCATACGCATATTAACACTCACTGTATCCACTATCTTGTATTTTATTCTATTGCATCTCAGTTTCATGGTCTCGAAGCGCAAGCTTGGCGATCAATAATGATCGACACCGCCACCATGCGAGTGTTGGTTCCGACCATTTTGTCCAGACCCAGGTGCGTCGCCTCCTTCCCGTCTTGACTTTCACCGTGTGCATCGGAAAAATCTTCTGTCGTTCCTTCGGCTGCCAATTCGAGTTCAGCGGTTCTGAACTCGACCTGAGGCTAGGCCATTTGGATGCCTTTTTGTTCTGTTCTCTTTTTTTCCATCGCGATCAATAAGTATCGATACCCTTTATCTGAGACTGGGATCATGGCCTGGTGGTGTAACGGGCATACCTGCTTCTTATAAGAGTTGGGTAAACCAGCGTTAGCATGAGGACCTCGTTCGATTCGGGGCTAGGCCATGGGTGGTTTGTGTTACTTTTTCTCTCTTCTTCTTGTTCTCCCTTCCGCATACGGTCGGGAATTTTTTTTGCATAAATACGAGACCAACTACCTTGTATTTTTTATCCCGGTTTCTGTCATAAGTAAGATAGGCCGCATCCATGGGCATCAAGCTCACACAACCACTGATGATAGGAAAGAAAACTCTGTAACAATTGAACCAGGGAGAAATAAAACATTCAGTTCCGAAAATATATTCTAATCGTATCAAAGCATGTGTAGTGCAAGTTTGGGACAACTTGAGTAAGAATTGAAGGACTAGATAGCTTTCTTAAAACCTCGGTCCAACTTGAAGCACCGCGATCAATATTGATGGGCACCGCCACATTCTTGGACCATTTTGTCTCGGACTGTCATTGTGCTGGTTGTCTCGGACTCCGCTGGCTCACTCCATCGGGCTCATGTGTGTTTACACCGGGAATTATGACGAGGTTTTTGGAACCTGGCGACTAAACCCGCAAGTTCTGTTCGAGGCTAGCGCTGGATCTCGACTAAAGCAAGGGCTCGGAGAGTCATCGACTTTGGACGGCGGCTCTCTGAACAGCTGCCGATTTGGACAAGGCACCGCTTGAATGGATGCACCTTACTCGTTCTGCGTAAACGGTTTTTCAACCCGAGGAGCTTCGGGCCCGTGGTTCAACCTTCAGTTTACTTGACAAATTGTAAGTAAGTACAGGTTATAGTCTGTTATTTCACTCGGTATCATGGCCAGGTGGTGGGCACGCCTGCTTCTCGTGAGGGGCCAATAAATCAAGTTTAGCAGGAGAACCTCGTTCAATTCGAGGCCAGGCTTCCTTTTTTCTCCATTCCGATCTATGCACGTTCATCTTAGGATCACGGCCTTGTGGTGTAATGCCTCTCGAATTAAAATTGCGGACCGAATATCAGCACATGTCTGCAACAAGCCTGTTTTGTCGGAATCACGGCCCAGTGGTGTATGGAGCATATCCGCAGCTCATGGGTGTAGAGAGAGATGTTTTACGGAAGGGCCTTGTTCGATTCGGGGCTGGGTCATGTTTTTTGTAGTGATCGTGGCGTTAAGCGAGGGTTGGGATGGCCGGGGACAGAGACAGTGGAGAGGGAGCACAGTAGCGTAGCAGAGGACTTGAATCAGATAGAGATGAAACGTGATATTGCCAGTGTTTTGCTATGTCCTCGAGCGAGTACCAGCAGCGACCATCCCGCGAGTCGATCCAGGAGTACCACGCCCTCCTTGCAAACGCCAACGCACACACCGCACAGAGCCACTTTATTCCCCACCGCCAGCCACCCCCGCCCCCCGCAAAGCACCGCAACTCCCTCCAGAAGCCACATCCCCGGGCTCGCAAGCTCAGTCTGCCCAGTAGCCAGCCCACAGACCCCTTCGCAAGCCAGTCCATGGCCACCGGCGCACCCCCGCCCCGTCCCTCCCGCGCAAACACCGCAACCCTCACAGACGTCTTTCTCCCCACAGACCAGGCAGTCCGCAGGCTCTCCTCCCCCGTGGCCATAAACCACGACGCCCCCTTCTACGCAGATCCCCAGGAGCAGCTCCCCCCCGCGCCCCAGGAGTACACCCAACCCACCCTCCGCTCCCGCAGCGGCACCGCGTCCTCGAAGAGCAAAAAGTCCGTCCTCGGCTTCATCTTCAACACGCAGAAGCGCCCAGAGATCAGCACCCCCTACGACCCCGTCCATCTCACCCATGTCGGCTTCAACTCGTCCACCGGCGAGTTTACCGGCTTGCCCAAGGAGTGGCAGCAGCTCCTCCAGGAGAGCGGCATCTCGCGTTTAGAGCAGGAGAAGAACCCCCAGGCCGTCATGGAGATTGTCAAGTTTTACCAGGAGGGCCAGGCCGAGGGCTGGGACAAGCTCGGCGCAATGGGTGCCTTCGAGCCCCCCATCGATGTCGACGGCTTTCAGAATCCGGTCCGTTTTTTTTTTACTTATTTTTTTAAAAATATGCTCACGACTCACAGCAGCGCTCACCACCACCGCCGCCAAAAAAATCCCAGTCCGCCTTCTCGTCCCCCGCCCCCACCGCATACCGCCCCGCGCCAACACCGCCGTCCGCCGTGTCCCCCGCGCTCGACCGGTCCACCTCCCAGCGCACCCCTACAAAGCCCCCCGCCTCCAAGCCTGTCGAGCGCTCAAACACCACCACCCGCACCCCCGTGGCCAAGCCCCCGACCTCCACCTCCGCCACCACCCCCAAGCCATCCCCGGGCTCGTCCAACAGCGACCTCCCCCTCCGCACCCCGGCCCCGCGCGCGGCCCCGCAGCCCTCCGCCGCCGCCGCGTCCCTCGCAAAGGCCGGCGCCGTCCCCGGCGCGACCCCCCGCCGGCGCGAGAAAAAGCCCGCCGACAAGGACAAGGACGGCGACATTGTGCGGCGCCTGCAGCAGATCTGCACCGACGCGGATCCGACGCGGCTCTACCGCAGCCTCGTCAAGATCGGGCAGGGCGCGTCGGGCGGCGTCTACACCGCGTACCAGGTCGGGACCAACCTCTCCGTCGCGATCAAGCAGATGGACCTCGAGAAGCAGCCAAAGAAGGATCTGATTATCAACGAGATCCTCGTTATGCGCTCGTCGAGGCACCCGAACATTGTCAATTACATAGACTCGTTCTTGCACAAGAACGATCTGTGGGTGGTGATGGAGTACATGGAGGGCGGGTCGTTGACGGACGTGGTGACGGCCAACTTGATGACCGAGGGCCAGATCGCCGCGGTGTCGCGCGAGACGGCGCAGGGGCTGCAGCACCTCCACCGTCACGGTGTCATCCACCGCGACATCAAGAGCGACAATGTGCTGCTCAGTCTTATTGGGGACATTAAACTCAGTGCGCCGCCTCTTTTTTTATTATTTTAACGAAATGCTAACCCACGCGTGCCTGCAGCGGACTTTGGGTTCTGCGCGCAGATATCGGACCCGGCGCATGCGAAGCGCACGACGATGGTCGGGACGCCGTATTGGATGGCGCCCGAGGTCGTCACGCGCAAGGAGTACGGGCCCAAGGTCGACATCTGGTCCCTCGGCATCATGGCCATCGGTGCGTTCTCCTCCTTGCCCTTCTCCGTTTTTCAACACTAACGTTACCGCACACGCACACAGAAATGATCGAAGGCGAGCCGCCCTACCTCAACCAGAACCCGCTCAAAGCGCTGTACCTGATCGCGACGAATGGCACGCCAACGATCGCGAACCCCGAGAGCCTCTCTGGGGTGTTTAGCGATTATCTGGCAAAGACGCTCGAGGTGGATGCGGAGAAGCGGCCGAATGCAACGGAGCTGTTGAAGCATCCGTTCTTTACGCTGAGTGAGCCGTTGAGGACGTTGGCGCCGTTGATCAAGGCGGCGAGGGAAATTGCGAAGGCGCCGAAATAGGGTGCCTGTTCGTTGGTGATCTTTCGTGCGAGCGAGAGGTGGAGAGAGGGGGGAGGAGTTTTTGTTTGATTTGATGATGATTTCGTTTTTTTGCATTCATCTCTATTCCATCTATCCCATTCCATCTTTTTTTTTCTCTCATTTTCATTTCAACGTTTTTTTCCCTTTTCTTCATCGTACGTATTGCCGCTATAGCATCCGCCAGCCAGGTTCAGGTTCAGGTTCAGTGTTGTAACAACAATCCCTCTGGTCGCGTCTCCCCACCCCACCACCGATCTCTCTTCACTTCACGGCCGTCTCCCCCCGCCTACCCCGGCCACGCGCGCTTGCACTCATCATCTCGTCCATTGCACACTGTTGGTTGTATTGTATCACCACCATCCCGCCCCGCCCCGCCCGCACTCAGCATACCCATCCCCATCCATCTCCATAAACTCTACTTCATTCCCACCGCACGTACGCACGGACCCTGAACGGACAAGCAAAGCAAAACGCAAACTTCTTTCTATTTTCACGATTTACTTACGACGCGGGGCGGGGTGGATGCCGAACGAACTTTAGATGGCGCAGGGTTGGGATTGGAGCGCGGGAAGGGAGGGGATGGGAGGGGGGAGAGCTGGGAGGGGAAGAGAGGCAAGAGACGAGACCGAACTTGAACAGCAACAACAACAAAAATTGTGCCTGGCCTGGCCTGCGGCACGCGGGAGGTTGGTTGGTCGTGGAGTTGGGTGTCGAGGTGTAATACAAAGAAGGGAGTGAGGAAGAAAGGAGGGAGGGGGAGAAAGGAAGAATGAATGAAACGGATTTCTCAAAGTAAAGAAGTAATATTTGTTCAATTTGTTGCAGCGGCTGTCGTAGTATCTATAGAGTGTATGTATTGGTGTTGATTGGATTGGGATTGGGGGGATCGGGGGGAGGGGGAGGGGATGGGGTAAGTAAGCGGATGACCCGCTGATGCGCATTCTTTTCAGAGTACTGGGCGCGTAAAATTCCCTGCGATAACGTGGAGACTTCGACTTCAACCCTCCTGTGATATCCCTCATACTAATACAAAATTAAAAAAGCCGAACATAAGGATGATATGGACGCGCATTTCAAAAGTCCTCGAGCTTGTAGACATCGTACGCGACTTCTTCATACGGGTGTACCTTGCTGCAAGTTAGCTTCCCGGGGAGATAAAAAGGAAAGGGAGGCGACGCGCACGTCCTTGAGCGCCTGCACGACCTCGCGCATGCGCTCGAGCACGAGCACCTCGACGCGGTCTTCCTCGACGTGCTCGAGCTCGCCTGGCGCGCCGATGGTGGGGTTGGCTTCGGCGGTTGGCTGAAATTGGCCTTTACCGTTGAAGAGCATGCATATTGATATCGTTATTATCCGCGTTTGGAAGCGAGATAATGCAGACGGGCTGCGCACCGGTGCCGCGGGTAAGGAACGCACAGCGCTCGTAGTTGCCGATCTTGCCTACGTGCGCGGGGAAGGTGGTGACGAGGTGGTCGAGAATCGCGCGCGTATGGGCCGTGGGGGAGAAGAAGACGAGTTTGAACCGGGCGAGCGACATAAAAGGAGAGAGACCAGACTAGAGTTCAAGCAGCCGACGCAACAAGAGAGTTTTCAGACGTAGAGAAGATTCCCAAGAGAACTTCAGTTTACAGGCTAGATTTCAGCTGAGTCCAAGCAAAGTCCACGCAAAGTCCACGATCCACGAGTTCACGTTCGCACGCTGTGGCTGTGCTAATATATCTTGACCAGCCTTGACCGCGCTGCGCGACTCGACGCGTTTTTCGGTGCCGCACGCGTACAAAAGGTTATCAGGCACTTCCCAAAATGCTGCAATATCAAATTTATCTGCCGCGGCGTGGTCCGCGATAACGGTCTCCGATAACATGTTTGTAACATTTTGATATCTTCGCAACTGCGCGCGCAAGCCTTTGTCTTCCCGCGCTTCTGCGATGGTCCTGGCTGCTCTCCCCGCGTTCCTCGCAGTGGCTTTGACGCACGTTAACGCGCACCGCGATGAGTTCTTTTACCAGCAGCCCATGCATATGGGCATGGACGTCGTAGACGTCGCAAACGAGCCCTGGACAAGCAAGTACGGCCCCCAATACGACCTAGGCTATACCGGCCCCCTGGCGTTCTCGCACCTGCCATACTCGCGCTGCCTCGACGACGGCGCGGCGCGCTTCGACATTGGGCTCCTCGGCATGCCGTTCGACACGACGACGTCCTATCGCCCAGGTATGTACCCTGTTAGAGAGTTGTAAATGCGCGCTCTGATGGCGCGCAGGCGCGCGGTTCGGCCCGTTCGCGATTCGCTCGGGGTCGAGGCGGCAGGGGACAGAGCGCGGGACCCTCGCATGGGGTACGAGCCCTGCAGAATTAGGAGCGGCGCTGCTGGACTGCGGGGATGTGCGTTGAATGCCATTGGCTATCCTTCCGGGCTTCAATGACTTATGTGCATTATAAAGGTCCCGGTATCCGCGTACAACAATGAACTGGCACTCGACCAGATGGAGGCTGCGTATTCGACGCTCCTGGCCCGCCCGGTGCATGGCGGCACGACGGCGGCGTACAAGTCGAGCACTGCTGCATTCGCACTGGACGGGGTAGAGCACCCGCGACTCGTCACGCTCGGGGGCGACCATACGAT